ATATCTGAAAGCACCATAAATGTTAAGTGAATTAATTTTGCATGAATGTACTCACATTTAAACGTGTACTTAATTGTGTACATATTCCTGCAGTCCTCAAACACACAGATCATGCACTCCTTGAATGTTTCCTTACAACTGTTTTAGATTTAATACTTTGTTTCCATGTTATTGTTTGGCTGGGCCAGTCTGTTGTTTCAAGAGTTCACAAAGGGATCCACGCGTCATTTTATTTCACTCAATCTTCATAACCATGTTATCTCCTATGAGTCTCATGGTGGTTAACTGACTTAAGCAGTAAGGAGCTCGTTCTTTTCCGTGAGCTTCTAGAAGAGGATGGAGCACAGGGAAGTGATTGGGGAAGAATTAGGTGATGGGCATCTGCTTCATGTATATACAGCCAGTTAATGTCCGGCTGTGTTTTGTCTGAGATCATCTAGAAGCCAGCAGGAGTACGGGCGTCTCTGAAGCTTGCCGATGTGTACATGGTTTTACGCGCATCTTTTATACAGTCAAGGGGGTGTCTCCATGGGCCGTCTTTATGTATAACGTGCCCGTGAGTGGGTAAACGGAGGGGCACATAAAGAGAGTGGGGGTGGGGAGACTTCTGGCTTCCTCACCAGCTACAGGTTTTCCTCCCAAACCTGAGTGCCGAGGCTCTGGAGCGGACAGAGAGGAAATGACGGCTGTGAACCACACGTCCGGCTCAGCCATTTTCTAGGCGGAAAAAAGGAAGCCCCTCTGGGTCTCTCCTCCCTTTGTCCGACTCGCGCTCCAGCCCCTCCCGGCTCCGCGCGCCCGGCCCTCACCTTGAAGCCTTCCACCGCCTCCTCCAGCGGCAGCACGCTGTGGCCGCGGTGCTCGCGGGAGCGGTCGCACACCACGCAAATGGGCATCTGGTCCTCCTCGCAGTACAGCTTCAGGGGCTCGCGGTGTTTCTCGCACACGCCCATCTCGCCTCCGGGCCCCGACGGCCGCTCAGTGCGCAACTGCTTCACCAGCTGGGTCACGTTGGCCAAGTGCCGGTTGGGCCGCATGTGCCTCTGCGGGAAGGTCTCCCGGCACTGCGGGCACGACACGTTGGTCTCCGCCGCGCCCCAGCAACGGGCAAGGCAGGCGCAACAGATGTTGTGGCCACAGTCGAGCATCATGGGCTCGACAAAGTACTGCAGGCACACGGGGCAGGTGGTCTCCTGCTGTAAGCACTCGGCCACGCTCCCGGAGGCCATGGCGCGGGCCCGCGGGGGCGCACGGGCATGAG